TTGAAGTAGGCTCAAAAGTATCTTAAAATTGTCACTACCGAAACATGTGGTGAAGTTTCGGTAGTGACATCATGGTTTTTTGAGTGTTATTCGATAAAATTTAGTTTTTGTGTGTACAACTATCCAGAACTGTGCTAGTTAACCATGTGCTGCTGATTAGCATCTTTGAGCTAGGCTCAAAAGTGTGTAAAATTGTCACTACCGAAACAGTCATGACCGAAACATGCCATCATTGTTTTGGTAGTGACAAAAGGGAACACATAATCATTTATTTGGGGAAAATAAACAAAACTTTAGTACAGTTATGCAAATCATTAGTATCTTACATATTTTAGAAGTGTTTTAGTATGTGAGTTAAAAGTCTGTATGTGATGTGATCGCTACCAGGCTACATTACTGTCAGTACCGAAAATGTGCCGTCAACCGAAACATGGATGTTTTGTCTAAAATAAAGTATATTTAATTATCAACTAAGATGTTATTATAGTGTTTGGTTCAATGTATATTCAAACTCATGAATCCTTAACTTTTAAATCAGTATAAACTTAATGCCTTTTACAAAGAAAGATTGGATTCAAAATACAAAAATAGCTAAAAATGTATTTACAAGGTAGATGTAAACAAAATATTAACAGGTCAACATAAGCCGCCTTATTTAATTATTTATTATTGTTTCGGTAGTGACACATTTGGGGAGAGGAAAAATATTCCAAAACTTTCGGAAAATACAATATGATAATTAACTGCACAATTACTAGAACGTGTACCTTGGATATTATAGAATTTGCATGTATACAAAATTTGTGGAAAAAGACAAAAAAATTTCAAGATGTTTCCAACTCTGACTTTGAACCAATTCTGTAGAATGGCCCATGCTTTGGAACACACTTATTCTAATCTCACATACTGTTTAGGATGGATTTGGACATTAAGACGTGTGAGGTAGGGAGCTGTTAAAACTCCGCCCTCTGTGCCGGAGCAGCAGCTCATTTGCATTTAAAGGGACACACACAAAACCGGTGCGTTTTTGCTTACCCTCAAAAAGTGACAATTTTAACATTATTCAGCTAAAACTTCACATACACACTCTGGGGACATCAGCAACTTATTTCACATCTTGTGAAAAGGGCATTGTAGGAACCCTTTAACTAAGTATTGCATTACATTATTAGATCTCTCCTCTCCTTTTGACTTCATTTCAGGATAATCTTTCCTTTATTCTTTTCTTTATGTCTAGGGCGAGAAAGAAAGCTTGAAATTTACCGCAATGTCTTCTTGTCTACTACACATAATTACATTTGGCGAACGGTTTGTCCATAGCGACCTTCTATAGAGCAATTTGAGGTTAGCATCGCTTTTTATTTTAATCAGCATGTCTGTTCCCCATTTTCCTCGGGAAACGAATCATTGCGTTTGCTAGCGTCATGCTGTACCAGTTGTGCTAAAAAAGTTTCTATAGGCACACTGTGGATTGTAATGCTATTCTTTGTAAAAAATAAATAAATAAATAAAAAACCTTTATCCATTAAATTTCAACTTAATTGAACATGCTTAGTGATGTGTATAGCCTATACATACAGGCCTAACATTACTGTTGTGTGTAAAAAAAAATAGGCCTACACTGTCAACTTAATACAAAGTAAATAAAATAATATTTGAATAAGATAATACTGTCCTGATAATATTTTTAATAATCTGCTTTGTACGGTGGCCGAGAGAGCTCAACGCGCTGCAACTGAAAAAAAAGGCATGCAAATAGAAGAAAACACATGCAAATAGAAAACAACGCGTGCAAATAGAAAAAACACATGCAAATTAAACAGAACACAACGGAAATGTTTCCAGGGGAACCAAATAAGTGACGAACCCGGCTGGGACGTTCTGGCATAGATATCCATAAATCTATGCGTGCTGGTAGCCTGGCATGCCAGACCTACATCAAGATGTTAGGTCTGGGAACTCATCATTGACAGGGCTCAATCTGATGGGCGGGATAAACGGTTGTCTTTCAAATTCTCTCAGCACGCAATTGGATAGCGCTACAACCAATCAGAGCAACGAAGAAGGGGACGTAGTCAGCGGAGCAAGTTGATATATTAAACTTTTACCGTATCCAGTCCATAGCTGTCAACATTGAACATTGAAAATAAGGGAGATTTCCAGTTTTTTACACGACCCACAAACTTTAAAAATAAAACACTAATCATTAAAAGTCTAAAGAGTTTATAACTAGCCTATGTGTGAGAGAGAAAGAGACAGTATGTGTGTGTGTGTGAGAGAGAAAGAGTCATTAAAACATTTTTTGTCATTAAAATAATAATATCATAGAGAATGTTTAAATACTACTATCAGCTTACGAGGGAAACGGAGGCGGAGTAGTGGTGCTTCGGAGTGCTGGAGATGATTCGGAGGTCCTTTACCGATCAGAGCGCGCGCTGACACGGAGTAAATAAAGCCTTTATACTCGACACGTCCGCACGAGTGCGGCAAAAATGACAAGTTGATCGTTTCGCCACAGCTTTTTTGTAACAGCGCGCGCGGCGCCGCATCCGAGGATGAATGACTTCAAACCGAATATGTCCGAGCTTGCTCTGACCGTCGCAACTCTGCCGTCATTGTGTTCAGCCCGCCCACCAACTCTATACACGATGTGATTGGCCTGACCAGTTTTTGGTTTTTCCAGCTAAAACGTCTATGGAGAGTTGCTAGACCACACTGGCAGCGAAATGATTTTTGCTGCCGCTAGGGTGCGTCTAGATTTCTAGGCTATGCGTGCTGGTGCTTACAGCTTAAAATTATACTTTATTTATTTGTTTATTTATTTATTTATTTGTTTGTGCAAAACATACAGAGATTACATTTTTTATGACATACAACTAGTATACAATGTACAAAATGTATTAACAATATGTTCAATGTCATCAGAATACAAATGAGAAAAGAACAATGAGCTGGAAACTAAAATAAATAAATAAAAAAGATAAAGAAGAAAAACATGAAGGAAAGATATTTATCTATACATCAGTTACACTGTACAAATTGTTTCATGTTATTACATTTTCATAAAGAAAGGTTTCGTAAGAAATGTTAGGTAATGTAGGGTCCAAAATTTTTAAGTTGAGACAGATATATAACGCACATTTTAAAAGCTTTTTTTGTAAAATAAAAATAAAAATGTATTTGCATCCGTTGTGTTAACAGCATTGTAAGACCAGCTGATGGACACCGTGCTGCGTTGTCATGGGAACATCCCACGTTGTCTTTAGTTGCTCCCTTCATCAAGTGCGCTCCACACGGCTGCCTAACAGCACACTAGAGCCTTGCTCACTCCAAAAGGGCTCTGCAATCTACCCTTCGAAGGGAGTATGGCATAGGGAAGCTCACGAGCAATAAGCACGTCTCAGCCGGGTTCGTCACTTATTTGGTTCCCCTGGAAACATTTCCGTTGTGGTCTGTGTTATTTGCAGCGTGTTTTCTGTATTTGGTTGTGTTGTGAACTTTTGCAGCACGTTTCCTTATTTGGAGTACACGTGTGTTGTGAAACTGATGAAGATGTTTTTTTTTATTTGCAGGTGTTTTTTTCTATGTGCATGTGTTTTTTTCTATTTGCATGCGTGTTTTTCTATTTGCTCGCGTTTTTCTCTATTTGCATGTGTTTGCTTCAGTTGCAGCGCGTTGAGCTGTCTCGGCCACCGTAGGGGCTTTGGCTTTAATGACAATATAAAAGCCAATATTTATTTTTTGTCTTTATAATATCACGTTTAATATTTTCCTTACAAGGTATAAATAGGTCTTTACGCACAAAACTACACTTCCCAGCCAAAATAAATAAATAAATAGACAAATGCTTATAAGTCTATGATTGCATCATTATTAGAGTGATTATTGTGTTTCCACTTTCCAGCATGTTATTAACTAATTATTGTAATTAATATGTTATTAATAAATTAATCACTTTTTTACAACAAACATGAACCATCACTGAACTAACTTTAGCTGGACTATGATGCTATTTTCTTCTAGAAACCAACTTTGTTGCATTATTTTCCTGTTATCACTGTAAAGCTGCTTTGAAACAATCTGTATTGTAAAAAGCGCTATATAAATAAAGGTGACTTGACTTATATGTTTGGCAAAGCCCTAATTGATGGAATGTGTAGCTTTTCATTTCTTAAACAACGATGTAGGAAAACACACCATGCCCAGATTCCAGGAAAACAATGTCAATGTCCTCTTGAGATATCCATGGAGATAAATGTTGTGATGTTATTTCCATCAAGAGGTGCATCAATTTTTGGTCAAGATCTTGACATTCTTGACGATCTTGAGATCTTGTATTGACAATGCAAGAGTCAAGCACTCTGCAAAGTCTCCTCCAGCACATCCAAAAGACTTTCCATGAATTTAAGGTCTGGACACAGAGGTGGCAATTCATGTGTGAAAATGATTCTTCAAGCTCCGCCCCAACCATTCTTTCACAATTTGAGCCTGATGAATCTGTACATTGTCATCCTGGAATATGGTGTGTTTTCCTACATGTTGTTTAAAAAATGAAAAGATACACACTCCATAAATTAGGGTTATAAAACTTGCCAAACATATAACAATCTAGAAACATAATAATCACTGCAATAATGATAGACTCTTAAGCATTTGCGTATTTAAATCATTTTATTTATTTATTTTTGGCTGGGTAGTGAAGGCTACCTATATTTTAGTCATTTGGCAGTCTTTGCTATCAAAAAGTTCAAAACATCTCATCCAGGATATATGACGACATTTACAAAACATAAAATGTAGCAACACTGTGTGGTGCACCTTCATCATCAGCCTGATAAAAAAATCCACAATGAAGGCTTTTTTATCTTACAGCTTTTAAAAAAAAAAGAAGCTGAATCACAGTCAACTAAAACCCGACTCTAGGCAGGACGAGTAGGGCATGCGTTCTGCTCTTTGCGGTGAGCGACGCGTCACACACGCCCCTTTTGATGAGTTCCCTGCGCTACGCGACGCGTGTTCGCTTCGCGCTCGTCCTCGTTCTGCTGCAGAGAGTGGCGCTCGTGACGTCATCCTGCTGGAGCGGCGGCTGCTGGGCACGGGCGGAAAATGGGCACAGATCTGCGAGGTGAGAGGCACACTTTCTGACACATGTAACATGTTTTGGATGGTGACAATGGGAACGGCGTGTTTCTAGGCATCGGTATTGTTGATATTAGCAAGCGGCGGTCATGTAAGGGGCGCGAGGAGAAGGATTTGGACCGAGACTAGCCTACGTTATTGGAGAAAAATGGTGAAAATCTGTTGAACCGTGGTTGCACCGTCGGGCACGAATTTGCAGCGAGGTAACATACCTCCAAATATATGCCCATGATCGATATGCATTAATTGCGTTAGGCATTATTATTATTGGTCTCATAAAATGTGGCATCTCCACGGTTATGAAAAGAGAGCCGCATGCGGTATCATTTCTCACATCTACGTACCCGAGAGAATGAGAACGAGAACATGAGCTCCATTTCTGATTATTTAGTGCCTCCACCCTTATTTTACATGACATTTTGCCCACGACCGAATCAGCTGTCAATGACACGGAGCGCAATCCTGATTATTTAGGAAGAGATCCCCTGTGAAATGATAGGTTGAGTTTCAAAACCTAGTGAGCTGCCTACGTAAATATGGCCATCATTTTTTCTTTTCCTTTTCTGGAGGATTCCAGATAGTGTGAATATAGTTTATAGTAGGCTACTTTAACAACACTTTTTTTTTTGCAGTTTTACTTACAATCCGTTATGTAATAATGAATCATGATGATTGCTTTTTACAATTACCTTTACTTATGTTTTGATAAAATACAGTTCCCCTAAATACACTGACTGGCTGCTGTTGCAATGTTTCGTTTTATGGTTGAAATTGAAAATAGCCATTAGTAACTTAGGCCTTAAGCTGAAAAAAATTTATCAAAAAGTTCAGTTTTATTGATGCCTTCCATTTTCAATTAAAATCAAAGGCATACTAAAGTTATGACTAAAGATTATATTTGATTAATTACTAAGTATTTGCTAGACTACATTAAAACATAATTTGCAACACTTAATGCAAATTTATTTCTGTGTTTGTTCAATATTGTCACTTGGAAATGCATGGTTGAAAAAAACTTGATTAATTATGTAAAGAAAAATATAAAAAGACACTCATCCTGTAAATATAGTTTCTGTTAAATGGCGTAAGAGAAATCTCAAGAAATGGTCGGTTGTTGGTTATAAAGAACCAAATAGAAAAGTATTTTTTTTTAATCTTGGTCTAAATGATTATCTGTCTGATTCTTAAAATGCAGTTTAATTGTACTTATTTAATGACTGATGAAAAAAAAAACATTGAGTGAGACTGTGAGAGCCAGTGTAGATGTAATTTCCCTTATTGTAAAGAAGTCCATGCTTGTCAACGCTGCCTCTCTTTTAGCACTGCATGATATTAATAAGAGTTAATGAAAAATGACAATGAGACATAGTATTTTTTGCTGCTTCAGACATTTGTGGTCCCCTGTGTCTGATCTGCTATTGATCTCAAGCATACCCAATACTGGTTTGTTTACTTCCTGTATGGAGTCAGTCACATTTTCTCAGATTTCATGTGTTCTGTCGGGGGAAATGTGTGACAAGTTGCTTTTTAAAATTAACAAAACAAATCTAAAAATATCAGCATTATAAGACCTCGTAAGGATATTGAATTTTGTCATTTTTGGTTGTAGGAAGTAGAGTTTTGACTGGGTTTTTTGGGAGCTATTTGGTCAGATATTGTTGTCCTCGTGTGTAAAAAAATGTGTTTAGTCCTGCAACATATAAAAAAAAGACACATTTTAATAATATCACGTACTTTTAAATCTTTGTTTATACATTGCATTTGCTGATTTGACACACTTATCTAAAGTGACTTTGAGTGCTTTTTTTTAAATGACACATTTGTCAGTAGGCCGGCCCTATAAAAAGTTTAAAACCATTTCTGGTGAGGATGCATTAACTCTTACACTAAATGCCATGTGGGTCACAAGCATTTAAATCAGTGATCAGATCACAAAACCTTTCAGACTCCGGTTACACTGCATTTAATGCACACCACATATTCAGATCGTTGTAAATGAATATTAGTAAACAGTGTCATCATGAAAGTATTTCATTTCTGCCCCTTTAGCTAGATGATTAGGAAGCCTGACAAACTCAATTGAATCAATTCGGTTGGCGAAAACATTATGGGATAATTATTGTTTTTTAAGCAGAGCTGCACAAAGTGTAATTCCAGTTTTGTGTGACACAAATTTGCATAACAGTTCAAATCGACCAAATCTACTCTGTAAAAATGTTCTTTCTGAAGTTCTTTGAAGATTATTGGAGTGTTGTACAAGAAAATACTATTCCATTCAGTCAAATTCAATATTTAATGTTTAATTCAATGTCTTACTTGCATTTCTTCGCAGATATTTGTGAAATTGACTAGCAATTTGTGAGTGAACATCGTTCTTGAAGTAAATCCCTCACTTCTTTTCAATGTGCTTCAGAGAGCAGTGTAAATGTGTTTAAAGTGCACAGAGGATTGACCACAGGCTATACTGATGGTGATTAAACTCAAATATCTAAATGGAAAACACACAGAGGCGAGATAATGCAGCAGTTATGTTTGTTAATTGCATCTGTTAACACAATAATAATGTGTTGTTTTAGTGTGTGTCCTTACAACTGAACCACAACAAACGATGCACTCAGTGGATGTGAATGTTTGCTAACCTGTATGGAAAATAACATTGGGTAATCGATTGGTCTGCATCAGCTAGTGATACAGTAATGCAAGTGTGAGAGGGCCTTTAGTGCTTTATTGGGATGTCTTCCCTGACTAGTGGCATGTGATGAGCTGTGGGTAATGAGGGATAATTGGCTCAGTGAAATCCCATGGATCGCTAGGGGCCAGACGAATCTTTCGCCTGTAGGGCTTCAACTTTTGGAATTGGCAGACATGGGGACTTGTGACTTGGTGACTTGGACTCGAGTCGACTCGAGTCGCTATTTTTATGACTTGTGACTTGACTTGACATAAAATGAAATACTTGAGACTTGACTCGGACTTGGAAGTTAAAGACTCGGGACTTGACTTGACTTGAGACACGATGACTTGAATGACTTGAGTGTTAATCACATCATGTTTTCAGTTTGAATATAAAATATATATAAAAAAATGTTTTAAAGTTGATCACGACACTATCATCAGTCATACCTCGTACCTTACGCACACCACGCCCACTTAGATCAGATATCACATCAAAATGTCAGCCGGAGGGGTACCGAGTCCCATTGCTTTCGGCTTCAAGAATTATTCACACGATGGCAAAAGACGAACAGCGCTTTGCAAGACATACAACATTAACATTGCGGACAGCCAGACGACAACCTCCAATTTCGTCCGTCATTTGAAGAGCCATTCTGCCCAGTAAGTGCTTGTCAATTTGTTAATGTTAGTTGGTAGTTAGCTAATGTAATAGCTAAAGTAGCCATTAACCCTTTCACAAGTAAGTTTAAACTATTCTAACTGATCCCCCAGCGTGAGTTTTTCTAGGCGACCGTTATTTAGAACCTGTCACTCACTTTAATGTTTCATGGTGACGCATCATTGCTTGTCAAGTGACACAGCGCAACCACAACACAGCGCTGAATGAATCTGCTTTTATGTCATTTTTCCTGTTTTATTCAAAATGTTCACAAATGTATTAGCTATAACATGCAACACTGATATTCCGATTGTCAAATATGTGTAAGTGGATGTGTTTTGTTGTTTAAACACCTTTATAATGATCGCGTTAGTTGAGCTGTATGTGCGAATGGGCGGTGCCATGTTAACGTTAGTTTACAACACGTCAATTTCTCAACTTCTCACGAAATACATGAAAGTAAGTGACCGGTGAACTGGGAGAAGAATAGGGTAAAATGTAAAGCTACTTACACAATGTGTATCTGATATGAATAAAACGTGCGTCTTATTATAATGGAAATGATTATTATTGACGCTTCCATAGACATCAGTGTATATTTTACAAACTACAAATATATTTTTTGCTAGTAGTTATGTGTATTTAAATGTCTGAAACCTAAAATAAAAATGATGTGGTTGAAAACACTGAACAGTTGTGATATATGACAGCACTGAGAGCGTATGTCTCTGGCTCAGCGCCAGCCAACGCGTTTGAATTCATTGATAAATAACTTACACGAAGCAGAATAGTGGGTCATATGTCTAATGCTTTTTGAAAACTTAAAAGGGGCATATAATGCCATTTTTGTACAAGCTAATATGATTCTTTAGGGTCTAAATTAAAAGTTTGTAATATACTTTAATTAAAAATTCTCATTAGTATTGTAAGAAAACACTTATTTTACTTGGTCAAAAACAGCTCTGTTTTCAGCACGCCGTTTCAGTGCATATGACTTTAAATGATAATTCGCTCACCCCGCCCCTCTGTTCTGTGCGTACACCGTTTGTAACACAATAACACAATAACCATAACGCGTTGTTCAGTATAAACGTGGAATTATGAATTATATTGAGAACGTCATACATAGAAAACATGCCGTAATGTACCCTGAGTGTAAACCTTAGACGCATTCATTGTGAAGTGTGCAGCTAGCGATTTGCAAAGATATAAATATTAATATAAAGTTTAATAAAACGTTACACTCACTTCAGTTCTTCTGGAGATTAAGCAGGAACACGAATATCTGGTACCGATCTTTTTTCATGAGCAGCTACTTAGCAAATCCAGCTTTATACTCACCCTCGTTTATAAAGCAGTCTGGTGTGTGAAATGATTCGGGCAAACATGAGAGCATTGACGTTGCTCGTGGGGAATATTCCCTTCGAAAACAAACTCAGCCACTGCGTCTTCAGCGGTTCGGATTTAGGAACATTAAAATGACTGCTGTGTTCGTTATTACACCCAAGAACAGAACACCACAATCGCTTAGAGCCATTCTGCTCAGACAGTGCTCCAGCATATCAACAATGACCGCGCCGGTCCGCGCAGACTATGATTGACAGCTCGCTCTCACGAGCGAGGGCGGGTCTGTGTTGAAACTCGGCTGTCAT